TCCCGGACCAAGAAGATACCGCGACGATAACGAGCGTCGCGCGGAAAGGAGCAGAGAGAGCAAAATAACTTTGCTGCGGTCTCTGCTCTTTAGAGAGACGAGACGGCTTTCGGGGGCTGTTTTTAAAGTACACAGAGCGAGCGTATCGTGTTATTACCGTGACGTGCGATGATAATAATTACGGGGTATAGCGTAAGTAAGTTCCCGTGATCTTTCACGATTCCAGATAACGCCAACACGTTCGTCAGCCGATGAGACGTTTCGTTCGTGGGGTGGTTCGAACATTTCTTCAGCCAATCGGCGTCGTCTCGTTTCGTCGAATCGACACAGAATTCTTACAGGACGTCGATCTATGAACAAAAAGGCAGCACCTTCTTCTGTCCGTCTTCCGTTCCTATCATTCTTTTTCGCTGCTCCTCGTGCACACGCGTGTACGCGAGACTGAATCAGTTCGATGCATTACCACCTTGACATGGGCGTCGTCGTCTTAATTCCCATCAAGCTTTTCGGTTCTGATACTAATCTGGCAGTCGGCCGATTGCCATACGATCACGATGACTCGCACGTTTTCTTCTCCCTCTTCTCCTTCTCTTCTGATCTCTGCTCTCATGCGATGCTTCCTCGTTCGGTTTACTTCGAACGAAATTCATACGTCTTAATCCGACGTACAAATGGACGCCGCAGTTTCCTTCGCCTCAGCCACGGATTTCATACATACACTCCTGTTCACAAGTCGCTGGACAATTAACGAAAAACGTAGTTCATTCATTCATTTATTGAAATAAACTATGAATTTTATGGTCGATGAATTTATTCTTGCAATTTGGTAAAGAATCAAATTGCTGAAGAGAATATAATATAATAAATACAATGGTAAATTATGATAAAGGTGACATTTTATTATTGACATTATTTACTTCAGTGAGATATTTAATTTATCAAAAAACGTCATATACATACGTATACTATCTCTGGCAATTCTCTTATTTATGTGACTGCACAATTTGTATGAAATATTTATACAGATTTACAGGAAGTCAACCAGAACTTGTGGAAAGGAGTGTACCTCTCGATGTCTGTAAATTCTCGAGTCGATCTGCTAGCGAAATCGGACCACCCTCCGCTATATCGATCCATGACTTATCCCCCGACGAAATCTTGTTTCTTCGTTAAATAAAAACCGAACCTCATGTCCATCGACTTAGTCGTGCTCGATTTCTGTTTGAGAAATGACCCACGTGACAACTTTCGAGGATTTACATGTACTCATCACTTTCAGATTTAACGACTGTGATTTTGGTAATAAAAGGATTTAACGACATGATGTGGTTTACAGTAAAAATTAAAAAATTAGAAGACAAGCTTGAATACCTTGGGAGAAATAATCAAATTAGATACAATTTTATTAAATCGTTATGTCGAGATATCATGACATTATTATGAGAGAATAAATTACTGATTATGCAGATACTGAACCAGCACATTTCACTTTGCAATCTTGCAGAGATACCGACTATATTGATGAAAAATAATTGATGACCAGTTCTGAATGGGAGCCAGGTTTCCCATATGCTCGGGCGCTTGTGTGTCGTCATCGGACGCTATCGCGGATGATACGCGTGGGAAGGTAAAGGTTGAAGATAAGCCGGGATTTCGTACGACTCAATCGAGCCCCAGTAGGTGCTGCTATACAGGGGCTATTGTGCTCGGCTCGATAATCCACGCTCGAATGAAAGAGTCGATAGACGCGTAATCCTCCTGCAAGCAGAAAGGTGCAAACAAGGGGAAGTTTTTTTCGGCTCGCATGATTTCTTTCGTCCTGGCTTCCGACTGAACGCGCGGATACCTTAACTCTCAAATTAACTATTGAATGTGTTTATCTAATAGTAGCGAGATTGATTATTGATTAGCCAATGAAGTAAATTTGGTATTAATATTGAAATGCAGTAAAATTCAGTGTAAAATAGATTCTTTTATTAAAAGGATTAAGTAAGTAATTATGCTTTCTTAAATATTTGATGAGGCCCATAACCACGAAAGCTCTCTAAATTAATTGAACTGTGTAAATAAATAAAATATCCTTTTTTATATGTCATATATGTATAATAAAAGTATATACAAAGAATGACAGAATATAATGTCTAATTTTCGAATATCATAATTTAATTGGTCTACTGTAGAGGAAGTTAAATTTCATTTTTTTATCAAATCATTCGATTAGCTAAATGTTCGACAAAATAGCACGTCCATAACATAGAATCCCAGCAGATTGATCGACAGATACAGGCACCGGTCCTTTAAGAATGCCACTCGTTCCTGTTCGTCTTCGTCCCTGGGACTGTTCGTCTTGTATCAGCGCCACGTCCATCGAACGCTGGCGAGGGTCGCGTGATAACGAGCCGGATACGGCGACTGTTTAAGGACGAGAAAGGTAGCCTGAGAAAGCGAGAAATTTCCAAATCGAGAAATGCCAGCGAAAACTTGACTGTCCGACGACCGAAGACGAGCCGACTATCTCGATGGCCTTTCGGTTCACGCAGAGAAGAATACGCCGATTGTGCACCGGCCACTGATAAACTACCGTTTATAGCGTGTAGAAAAATTGTCGAGCTAGGTTGAGTGACGCGAGAAACTCGATTTGTAAAAGGAAATGTAGAAAGTTCTCTGATAATGCGGATTTAGGACTTGAAAGAATTATTTAAGCGATGCGCATTCATTTGTACCACTGATCGATTGTAATGCACGTTGGTACATACAGAAACGTTTTCTAATTAATCAATTCGGCTCTATACGTGCAATCGAATTATAATTTTACTTTTACAATTATACGCGTTTGCTGACGAAGCAACGAAGCTGTGAGAAAAATAAAGAGCAGTGACTCATTTCGAACTGTCCATGAAATTAGCATCCTGTCCTCGAACCCTTTAACAAGCCTTATTTATTGCCTTAAAGCGACTAAATGGAGCGCAAAACACCGAAATCTCCGGCGAGGTATCAAACTTGTTCGTTACAAGCAATTCGTCCATCGCATATCTGCGACCCAGACAAGCCATGTACCTAACAGAAGGAAAAGAAGCGGAAGAAAGCGCAGGCGGGGTGTCAATCACACGAACGCCTCGGGATCGAGCTGTTTCCTCGCCGAAATGAAACGAAACGGCGCTCGAATCCGCTTTACGAGCGCAATTTCGCGAGGAATTACGGGCTTGGGCGAAACGGACCACGCCGTGCCATTGCGTTTCCGTTATATTTTTCTTGGTAAAACAACTGTGGTAGAGCGCGGTGCCGCGAGTGGTGACTAAAACTTTTCACCTCTGCCTTAAACGGGATAATTAACCGACTCCGGGATCCGAGGTAACGGTAAAAACGTAATATTTCAGACTGGCCGGCTCTGGGCGTCGCGTCGGTACGCCACGGAGCCGTTCCGACGCCCCTGCGCGCATTACGCACCTTGTAATTTCGTCCAATTAAAAGGGACCGATAGCTGAGCGAGCGTTGCCTCTCGCTCGGAGGTCCTAGAACAGCCGAGTTCCTATTAGCGCCTATAATTGCCGACAAAGGAGAGAGTTGCGAGAGAAAAATTGAACGCGCGCGAGCACAGGTGAGACGAGGTCTCGCCTCACGCGATATTATATACCTGTAATCAGGCGTCGTTTAACCTTAATGCCGTGTTGGTACTCACGGCTGAAACTGGTGCGCGCAACGAATTAAGCGTACGAGGTCATGAACGCTCGCCTTTCTCCGAGGCGTAAGACTGTAACTTTTATAGACAGAAGATAATTGATAAACGTTATTTATTATTGGATACAGAATTCGATAGAAAAATTTGTTGTATATTTTTTTTAGTAAAAATTCTAATACATTAAATCTTACAAATTATTAGAAGTATCTCATTACATTTCCTGTGATCAAAATTAATTATCAGCAGTTTATTGAATTTGACTATAAATATTAATAAGAACACTGTCGTATGTAAAAATGATAAATTATTAAGATATCTTTTATTTAATTCAAGCAGATTATTAATTCGTCCGGACTTGTTTCCTTAACAGTAAGAGATAAGAAATATCTGTCGGTTTAATTGGAAGCAACTTGGAATCATTTATTAAAGCATTGGCACCAGACGTGGCTGGAAATTGTGGTCTTATTTAAACTCGGTTATTGACACGTTTTATAAATATATGCGTGCCGTTAAACAAAATTCAGCGATCAAAGCAGCTGGTCAATTATGTCAGCCCCGGGACGTAATTCAGACAGTACGATCAATTGCAGTGAGCGATTGGTGCTCCCGATGACTACGGAGTCGCGACGAAAATTATCATGCCCCGGTCCGGTGTGGAGTACCTATACCTACTGGCGGCGATGCACCTGCGTTCATTACGAGGAGCGGCTATCTGGGAACGTGAGCGCGATAAGAATATCCAATTTGTGTGTACCCACCTATATCGCTTCATAATTCCGATGTCGGTGATGCCGGGCAAACTGGGGAATTTAATTTCCAGTTAATCCGAGCCTCGGAAACGCACCACGCGACTGATCGACGACCGTTCTTATTCCATAATTGAACCCGCGCAACACGACGCTAAGACGCGGAGAAAATCGCGATCTAATGTCCGCTTCGATTATTGCCAGCCATAATTCATACGCCAGGTAATGAAGACACCAACTTTCTTGTAGATTATTGCAGAATTTTCAACGCGTGTTCCTGGTAATTGGAAACGATTTTGGCTTAATCGAATTAGATCCGATGATCTTGAATTAAACGAGGAACGATTTCAAACGAATAAGAAATATACGTGTTTGATAGAATTTTCTCACTATCAATTTGCTTTCGCTACGAAGGATTTATTATCTTCGACTGCATTCATCTTCGATGATCGGTACTTATGTCAAAATCCAATTATAAACGTTAAGAATAATTATTATCGTATTAATTATTCCAGAACACGTTCAGGTATTTAAAACGAAAATGTAAAATGGCAAACGCATTTCTATCGTTTCAGTGACTCATCGAGCAATTCTTGAAAACACATGGATTACCTAAGAGGAGGGAAGCACATGGGAAGGAGCTGAGCGCGGCGGTGTACGGTAAGTGCACGTAACGCTCATTAATAACGCGATTATTAGGCGCGGCGCCAGCCCGGTTACGCTATTCGGATCCTAACCTAATTGGCATGGACAATCGGCCACGCCGTGAGCCGTTTCGTCCACCGATGAATTTATCTTCTTTCCCGCGGGCCGCGATGCAGCCCATAATTTTCCGACGGACCTACCTATGTCGCTCCTTCGACAAATAAATTTTTCCCCGCCGTCACGTTTCGCCCACGCACGATAATGTTACACCAAGTTTCTAAACTCTGAACGAAATAGATTCAAATATTTTTAAAAGAGTACTTTTAAAATTTTGTCTTCGTCTATAATAAAAAAGAAGTCGTAAGTGCATTTAATTAAGATACACCTAACACGAATGACATCGAGTATAAAGCGCTGAATAGTTTTTAGAAAATGTTTCAAAATTCCATGCGTGCGAGTTCGCACTTGAAACAACGGTTCTCGTTACAATTTGCTTTGGCGAAAGTCGACCGACACCTGTGTACTCAGAGATTGCCGGCCGATCGACGGTGATTTCGCTGAAAATTTATATCCTTCCAACAGTCGACTCGTTGATCATCGCGGCGTCCCTTTTGCGGCTCGTTTCTCATTGTATCGGGGCAAAAGTTTGGCTGTGGCAAAAAATCGTCACCTGGCCAGAACGAAAGGGGATCCAGCGCTGGTCGGCAGCGCAGCGACGCGGCCTGCCCGGAATGCCGGAAAAGGGATCCATGGATCATTGTTTTTGCGTCGGGTACCGCGAGCGGAGACGGGACAGAAGCGGAGGGCATAAATCCCTCGGAGAGACTTTCATTGAGCGTAATTGGATCGCGGCCAATCGGCGTGGTCCGCCTGTTGCTCTCGCTCGTTCTAAACTTTTCCCTCTCCCTCGTCGAAAATTGAATGGTGCCCAAGAAATCGTCGCGATCGAAACCACCGTTGCGTTGCAGGTACCGATCGATTACGACGTCGAAAGAAATCCGCGAAGGCCTCTGGAAACGCGCGCGAGGAAGAGAGCGCACGAGCGAATTCTGTTCTCGCGATTGGATCTCGTGTAAGCGGGTAACGAGCTTCCGGTCGATCGCGGCTCGTTCCACGAGCTTATAATTACAAACTGGTACGGTCTCCCGTGGATCGGCGACGGCGTACGAGCATCGAGGGCCGGTTATCAGGTAGCTGTCTTGTTAGGACCGTATACATTTCTGATGATAACGATTGTGATTAAACCGTGGGATTAATGCCCGCGGGCCAGGCACTCGCCTCGGAAAAACGCGTCGCTGCTGTTCCCCTTCGTGCGCGCACGCGAATTTCGCTGTCTCCCTTCGTGCGCGCACGCGAATTTTGAATCTCTCCTCATCGCCAACTGTAGCTCGACTGAACTTCTCAACGGGGGATCCAATTCACGCTCGCTAGTTTAACTACATTGTGTTCATTATAAGCTACAAGGTTATTATACGTCTGCAGTAGAAGTTGACACGAACGTTTCGATTGAATAATAAATGGGTAGAAACGGTTTTGAATAATCTTGCAGATAATATCAAAACTTCACGTGAACGTAATCTGGAAGGGAATCAAATTGTAAATATATGACAAGTAATTGACTCGATATTCGAACACGTTATCGTTTAACGCACCGATATATCAAAACGCTATAAATAACGATAATAGCTACACCATAAACGCGAGCCCTCGCGCAATAGACAACGGTTTTCAACGCGTGGATAAAAATCAATGACTGGCAGCCGGTCGCACGTATTATATATCTGGTTCGTGGGACGCGGCGCGGGTGCGGAGGTGTCCGGGGCAAGTGAAGGCAGCGTGCGCGTGCAGAAAAGAAGCCTTGGAAACGCGCGAAACGATACGTCGAGGCCATGCGACGCGGTCGCGATTGTATGCAAATCGCGACTGCATTCAACGGCAGCGCGGGCTGTGCAGCTCGCGCGGACGCACCGCGATCAAGCGATTATTAGACGCGGAGTACGTGACTCGGAACGGCTGGTAATCCTAATACGTTTATAATGCCTGCAACGCGGAAAACTGAGCCAGTGTCCCGCAAATTAAGAAGCGCGACTGTGCGATGTTCTAGTAAGGGTCTGTTATCCGGGACCATTATACGCTTAGGGATTTTAATTTAGTATAGAGTGGAAGGGAAGATCGGTATCGTTAAAAGTATACTTTATCTTTTATACTTTACTCGTTTGTTTAGATATACTGTTTTTACATTTATGGAAACCGACATCCATATACATATCACAAAATGAGATGCTGCTATCATGTGAATAAAATTAATTTAATTGAACATTATTTTTAAATAGAAATTAGGAAGAATAGCTTGACGTGTATTTGAGTAATCATAAGATTTAAAACTTGGTTCCGTTTGATAACCCTTCCTTTATACGTATTATAAATGCAGCGTCCTAATATAAATAGAATAGTACAATTATTTGATGGACGTGTGAGAAACCTACTTTCGGATAAAAATCTCACAACAGGTACTCGCTGCTATTACATAGTGCTTCATCTGTAGGGTAATGTATTATACTGATAAACTGATCGTTTAATCATCTGTGAAAGCGAACAATATTTCCTGGAGGCACGGATATCGGTGAGCGACTGTTTCAGAAAAAAGGCAGAAGATATTGGTGATGTGCTGTGACGCTACAGCGCGGCATGGGGACCGTTACGCGGTCAAACGGTTTTGCAGCAATAAATTTGCCCGCGACACTGATTGCTTCCATAAATCGATCGACTTATTAAATCAATTAAATCGATTTATTAATTTTGACGCAAAAATCATGCTGCCATCGACCTCCCTATACCGTCCTGCGGTCTCATCCTATCCGGAGACATTCTGCAACGGCGCGAGCCGATTGATTTATCGGCTGTAATCAATTTCGCGCCGAAACTTTCGCATGAATAAGTAATCCCTCGCCTTGCGTGGTCTCCTCGTCTTTGCCACTCATCTTCAGATTCCTAAAATGTCTTGCACGGTTGACGTTTCACAGACATAAATCTCATTGTCTTCTGCCATTGCAGAATTGCATTTAAGGATGTATTGGCTATACAGTCAATCCCAAAAGTTTATGCACTTTAGAAACGCCTTTTTCAAAAAGAAATCAGACGTCGAAAGAAGATTGCTAATAATAAACAACAAAAAAAAGTTTTCGATTTTTCCGAGATTTTTCCAAGGGATACCCCTTCAGATTTTGCGAAATTTTCGTTTCTTGCCAATAACTCCCAAACCGTTAGACATACGGAAAAATTGCATGAGACCTTTCTTATAGAGGGCGTCGAGATCTACAATTTCCATGTAAAAATGTTTCGCTAGTGTCAATAGTTAATGAGTAATTTGCAAAAAACTGTTTTTTCGTTTTTCGTCAATAACTCGTTAACTATTGATGCTAGCGAAAAAATTTTACATGGAAATTGTAGACCCCATCGGCCTCTACAAGAAAGGTTGTATGCAATTTTCCCGTATCTCCAACGGTTTAGGAGTAATTAAGGAAAAATGAAATTTTTTGCCAAAAGTTCGCTGTTTCGACGGTGGAATGGTCGGATTTTGTCAATGCCAATAAAATGCCATATAAT